CTCCAGTATTATAAAAAAATTATTAAATTTTCCTCAACAAAATCGTAAGTATAAATATCAATTATAGGCATATGTATACACATTTAATGGAATCTTAAACATTCCTTAACTTTGAGATATATATATATATATATATATATATATATATATATAATATAAATATATATATATATATATATATATATATATATATATATATATATATATATATGTGTGTGTGTATGTATGTATGTATGTCTTAATAATAATAGTAATAATATTACTGCTTAATAACTCCTAAAAAATAGATTATTTCGCTTTGGTCGCAAGAGATTTAGAAAATCATGATATGAAACAGCAAAATAAAGAAGAAGAAGAAGAAGAAGAAGAAGAAGAAGAAGAAGCAGAACAACAACAACAACAACAAAAACAACAACAGTAAGATGATAACAAGAAAGGAAAGAAGAAGAACTTGATCAATAACAAAAACAACAATAACAACAACAGCAGCAACAAGATGTACGAGAATGACAACAACAACAACAACGACAACCACAGCAAGAACAAAAAATAAACATGAAGAGCAATAACAACTATAAGAAAAAGAACAACATCAATAACAACAAAAATTACAAGAAGAACAAGGAACCGAATAACAACAACAGCAACAAAGAAGAAGGAAAAGAAGAACGAGAACAACAACGACAACAATAAATTCGAGAAGAAAAAGAACAAAACCAACAAAGGAAGAAGAACAAGAAAATGAAGAAAAATATTAACGACAATAACAACAAGAAGAGCAAGAACAGCAATAACAAGAAGATAAGGGACAACAACAACAAAAAGAACAAGTACGAGAAGAACAAAGATGCCGAAGAAGAAGAACAAAGATGCCGAAGAAGAAGAACAAAGATGCCGAAGAAGAAGAACAAAGATGCCGAAGAAGAAGAACAACAACAACAAGTACAAGAAGAAATGTAAGAACAAGTATAAGAAGCAAATGAGCAACAACAACAACAAAAGAAGAACATGACCAAGAAGAACAGGAAGAAGGACAAGATCAAAAAAACAAGAAGAAGAAAAAGAAGAAGTAAAAGAAGTGAAATTAATTACAACGACATCATAAAGTATGTAAAGGAAATATCAAGACGTAGAAACAGATTATAAAATTACTAAATATACATTATGTAATAAATCAAGATCGTAAAATAGATATGGAATATCGATCAGAATTACAATCCAGCAACAAAAATATTTTGATGATTAAGATAATCAAAGTTATGACAATAAGCAACAAATAATAAGAATACACACACGTAGATATAAATATATATATAATCATATATTAACACACATAAATATCTTTATATGTACATATATGGACAAAGAAAAGAAAAATAGGCACTATGATCTGTATATACGTGTGTGAGTGCGTGTATGTATTGCATAGGTATATCAGCACCTGTATGTACAAACATAAAAAGAAGGACTTTAATATGTGTATATGCCTGAGTAGATCAGTATGTATGTATACATATGTAAAAATATATATATATATATATATATATATATATATATATATATATACACACACACACACACACATATATATATATATATATATATATATATTCACGTCTTTAATCAAATCACTTGTGTGGATGTTCTGGCGGTTTACCTTGATTCATTCTTATCCAACTTGTCAGCAGTCAATATACCACATTATAACCTTGAGTGATTAGCCTTGCACCGGGTAGAATGGAGATCAACGTGTTTTAGTGAACTCAGCAATTTTCAATCTGCTTGTCTGAAGCATCTTCAAGAAGCGAGAGCAAGATCTAAAAGGTCAGCCAATCTAACACTGATATCATCTCACAATCCTCACACTTGCTCCATATGTGGCCTCCTTTGTAAATCAATAGCGGGTCTTAAATGCCACTTAAGATTATCGCACAAAATTTCTTAACTGAATCAAGATCCTCATACGTTGAACCCGACTGGAGAGTCCTTTATATATATATATATATATATATATATATATATATATATATATATATATATATATATATATAGCAGTCCGATGAAATGCTAATGGATGAAACGCGCCACAAAAAAAAACCTTTCATATATATATTTGCATACAATTTTTAAAAATCCCTTATTTAGAGTCGTATGAATACATGCGGCTCGAATACAGATATGGATAAAACAAACATACAATCGAACATAGATAGGGTAATTTTTTTTTTAAGATATCGACTTATCTTCCCAAGTCATTTTCCTCACTCCCAATCTTATAATTTTAAACTAAATAAGTCAAAAGGTGCATACATTTCTACGGCGAAACGCGCCTTTAATAAATTTGCCCACTTTGTCTCATCGCCTTTATATATATGTAAGTATTATATCACAATTCTTACAATAATTATGTTGTTTCAGGTGAAACTTTAACAATAATGATCAGAAAAGAAGTAAGTTCATTACGATGAATTACAAATTAATATTAGTTTTTTGTTAAGTTCATAGTATTTAAAATATCCGCGCTAATAGTTTCAGATCACGATAGAACTCAGCTGGTGATATGCATGCATTTCTGTGTATATGCCTGTGCACAATATATATTTATGTGTAAGAAAACGATAGATAGCTATACACATAGCCGAGTGTATTTTAATCTATCTACACCTTTATATCGGGTCTCTTGAAAATTATCGGCACGACCATGAAGCGTTTAATAACCCTGATGTTGGATCATTTAGTAATATTTTGAAGCGATTTTTGGGAGGGGCAGATTTAAGCACATGGATATGAAAAGAATCTCAACAACTAACAAAGATATGTATATGTTTGCTTACATGAATGTATACATCTGTCTATCTATATAAGCAAGCATGTACGTATCAAATCTGGGGCGAATGAGTGCGTGTCTGTATGTGTTCCTGTATAAACTTAAATATGTAATTCGATTCGCAAATAACGAAACATTTATATTTCTTTGTATGGTATACATATGCATGTATAATATATATATATATATATATATATATATATATATATATATATATATATATATATATCGTTCTCTCTCGATTTCTCTCTCTATATATATATAAAAAATTTGTTCATCACCATATTTTATATGAACGCACAACCTTTAAAAATTTAAAATCAAACTCAGCGTTGCTTCTGCGCGTTCCAAAAACAATAACTCATTTTCAATAGCATTTTCGGATACAACAACATATATTTTTCGTTGTCCTCTTATTACTAAGAGAAAAACAAGAACAACATCTATTCTATACCTGAAGATGTCTGTAGGAACAGACGAAAACTTGTAGTAAAATAAGAACTAATACGGCAGAAATTTATATAAACAAGGGTCATTTCATTCATAACGGATTCGGAGGTTTTTGTATATTATTTGAATTGTTTTGCGATGATGGATGTCACGCCATTTAAATCATTAACCTTTGCATTAGTTTTTGTGTGAATAATTCATGTTTATATATATATATATATATATATATATATATATATATATAAATTCTATATATATTGTATATATTAATGGAAAGCGCTAAGAAAAATTTTCCTCTTGCCAATTTCCATTCATTTTCTCTCATTTATAGACACACTATATCTGAGAATATTTACACACATACACACACACACACACACACACACACACACACACACATATATATATATATATATATATATATATATATATATATATATATATATACCCACATAAACACACACAAGAAAATAACGTATAGAGATAGGAGCATCTGTAAGTAATTGCTAAGCAAAGTATTACATTGTAGCACTTCATACCGATGTCTCTCCACACTCGGTACTCTAGTCTTCCAGCAGAGACCAAGCTAATCAAAACCCCATCCCGAATCTCTTCATCCTACTCTCTCGACATTATTGGCTAAATTCAACCCCCGAAACTTTATTAGAATTATCTGTGGCATCGCGAATATTGCCGACGCATAGCCGACCTTCTTGATTACTGCACTGACGGTGTTCTCACGTTCGTAATTACCCATAACCCCGGCGATGGGATACCTGCTGATAAATTTATGGATTAATTTCATTAAGTATCGCATAATATTGCATCGATTGCTTGCCTGCTTTTCGCAACACGCTTGTGCCACGACATGAGATTTTCAATTCGTTTTTTTTTTATTTCTCATGCAGTGTTTCGTGTTATTCCGACCTTTACATATTTTGCATCTTACATCTATCTATCTATCTATCTATCTATCTATCTATCTATCTATCTATCTATCTAGCTTCTCCTTATGAATGTGTATAGAGACAGAGAAAAATATTGAAAGAGAAAGAGATAGAGTGAACAGAACATAGCGATGCATAGATCTTTGATGAAGATCTTCAGTACATAAAATTTAATTGAATGCAGGTGCTTAAATTTATTGGTATTTATATAGAAGAGAAAATTTCTATTCTTATATCTGTAAGATTTCACACCGCACACACACAGACATACTAACACAGACAGACACACACACACTCATATATATATATATATATATATATATATATATATATATATACGCACACACAGACACACACATATATATATATATATATATATCAGCAAGTCTGGTTGAATAATATCGACAAGTTCTGTTAATTCAGTACTACATTATTGTTACATATTGTCGTTCGTATGTGGAGAATATGACTTTAATATTGCTTGTTGATTGTTAGTGTTGGAAATACAGTCAGCCAACGGTCTTGTATCTGATGTTTCTATCTATGAAGGAATGTGTTAATGTCCTTGTTCACTGCTGAGTCATACCAATTAAAAACGATATGTTTAGGCAGCAATCAACAAACAACAAGAAATGTTTACACTAGCAGCACATTCACCGCCCTATGTAAAAATAATGTTTTGAATAGACAGAACTTGATGATATTATTCAACGAAACATGAATTCTTGCCGTGTAAATACGCCTTATTTAATTTTTTCTATCTATCTATCTATCTATCTATCTATCTATCTATCTATCTATCTATCTATCTATCTATCTATCTATCTCTCTCTCTCTATATATATATATATATATATATATATATATATATATATATATATATATATATATATATATATATATATATATATATATATATATATATATATATATGCTTGTATCAGTGTTTGTTCATATTACATATGACGATATCCTAGCACAATGTACGGAACCATATCACATACACTGACAGAATATAAATTTGCGATATCCCCGAAAAAGTTATCGATTTTAACTTATCTAAATTATATTCTTGCTAAGAGGCATAAAATATCGTAATATTTTTTTTAATATTCAATATCTTGTGACATTGTAAAACTCATAACAATTCAACATACAGGGTGGGATGGAGAAATTATCGCCATTTTATATTTTAATTCCGCATATGGGCGTTGTTTTTCCTTTTGATTTTGTCGCCTGCACAGCACAGTAGGGTCAGACTCAATACAGAGGCCTACATCAAGTACCTTGAGGCGGTAATGATGACCTGGGTGAAGATTGTGGCTGTTGAAAGACCCTATATTTGGCAACATGACACTGCACAAAATGCCACATACTCAGGAGAATGCAGTCATACCTATCTGCAACTACATCTCTCTTACATTTGACAACCTAACTCCCCAAACTGTAACACTTTGATTATTATATCTGAGGCACAGTTGGACAAGAGATCAATAAAATCCGTGGCTAAAGTGGCGAATTTATTGAATATATTTTCTCTTCAGTATTTTAAGTTATATTCGTGCAATTTTGGTAAATATACCTGTTAAAATGAGATGTCAGTGTTATTTTCATTTTTAGGGAATTTAGACGAAAATTTATCCATTGCATGTAGTGTTCAAATTTGAGACGTCAAAAGATACACAAATAAGTTTAAATCCACTATAACTTGGTGTCTTATTAGACGTGTGTGTGAAATTTTGTTGAGTGCAAGTTCTTCGATTGAGGGCTTCGCGAAGCTAGTTTTTTATTTGGAAAAATTACTTTGCATTTTAAGACATTCATCAGTGGTATATGATAATAGCAGATGTTCGGAGGAACTTTAATGCAAGTCCAGAACAGATTCTAGAATTGCCAAATAGTACAGATATTTGCCAAGATAGACGTATCCTAAGATCACCAGTGGCGTACCGAACATCGTTTACAACACACCAGAACCAATATGTCACCAGACTTGTCAAAACGGACCACTAGGTATCGTTCAGTTTCCGAAAGATTTAGAAGTCCTCTCTATACACACTTCCGCTTACAACACAAATAACTTTGTACGCGTCTATATTTATCTCAGGCGAATTCCAGCCGTAGGCTCGAGAATCAGTTTGCAGGTGTATATATATATATATATATATATATATATATATATATATTTCATTGTCGGGTTTTTCACTTTTTAGGATTTGGATTACTTCTAACGTTGAATTATATTTACTAGGAAGATAGGGAGTAATAAGTTGGCTAATGTATTTTGTTAGAAGTAATCCAAATCCTAAAAAGTGAAAAACCCGACAATGAAATCATAGCTTCACTTGATGTTGAAAACTTATATATATATATATTTATTAAAGACATTTTTATGTTTAACGTTCTTTTTTTTTCTTTTTTTAATAGATACAAGTATTTAAGTAAATGCTCTGTTTATAATGAACAGTATTAAATAACATTTACCGGCCTGAATGTCCGAGAAAGTTTCATAGAAAATATTCGTCCTTTGACAGGATTCGAACCTGCATCCTTTACAGAACCGTCATTTACGCTGACGTGCTTTAACCGACTCGGCCACAAAGGAGCGTTCGGTAGGCAAGGTCGAATTTACTGCTTATAAACTTCAATCTTCCATGAATCTCGTACATTCATAACTGCTCTGGCGTATCAAATGTAATCAAATGACGTCATATATTAAGAAATGAACAAAGTCCGACAATTTATTTATTAAACACATTTTTATGTTTAACGTTTTCTTTTTTTTTTTTATAGATACAAGTATTTAAGTAAATGCTCTGTTTATAATAAACAGTATTAAATAACATTTACCGGCCTGAATGTCCGAGAAATTTTCGAACCTGCATCCTATACGGAACCGTCATTTAAGCTGACGTGCCTTACCGTCTCGTTATTAAAGGAGCGTTCGGTAGGCAAGTAAATTCGACCTTGCCTACCGAACGCTCCTTTGCTCCTAGACATTCACTTTCCACAAGCCGGGATCGAAATCCGACTGATTTGTTATCAAGGATGAGGGTAAATTTAGAGGTATTTATTTTTAGACAAACACAGCAGTGACCAGAGAAATCGATTCGTCTTAACGGTGTGTCTTGCATCAGCAGCTGTAATAGTCACTCTTTACAAATTCATTATTCTCCCCGAAGAGCTCAACCAATATAATTTTTTCAGGAGCATATATATATATATATATATATATATATATATATATATATATATGACAGAGTGAAGAAAAATTCTCGGCCCCGTTTCACTCCCTCCACATCTGAACAAATTCCAATCATTACATTTATATATATATGTATTACATATATATTTGGAGTATTTACCGGTTACACGACACGGGGACAGCCGTAAGCGTCCTTCAAGTGTTATTTGTAAATTATGGTTTTTAACGCTCCATTTACAACAACTTTACACACACGCACGCACGCATATATATATATATATATATATATATATATATATATATATATATATATATATATATAAAGTATGAAGTGATGCGCACGCAAAAGCATAAATACCAAAATAACCCATAATATTATTCATGTTCACACAATTGACTGAACTAACATGAGAAAGATCAATGAATTACGATGTTTTTCTTTTTCCATTTGAATCCGGCTAAAAAAAAATAAAATATCGGCATTGGCTTCTATCGTAACAAATCCATTAATATTTATACAGCATTTAATGCCAAACATTATAAATAATAATAATAATAATAATAATAATAATAACGATGATCTCTCTTGAGAAAGCTCACCTTGGAAATGCGAAAGTAACAATTCTTTTAACAGCTTCTTGATCAGTTTCGAAATTTCCATGCTGATTTCTTCAATAGGAAATTAATTTAGAATACCACTTATTCGAAATTATTGTCTTTAATGAGAACAACATTTAAAAGGTACTGTCTGTAGCTGACACTGTGTTAATCACCTTGCATAACACACATATACATGTATGCAGATATAAAGATATATAGTAGGGAAAAATATTTGTATTGATACGTGTAATTGAATAGGCGGACTGGGTTCAATTTCCGCTTCGGGCTATTCATAATCACTGTCTTGAGGAAAGTATGAATTCATTTTACAAATTCATTCTTTCATATTGCAAGAATCCTGAAAAAAATAATTCCCCTCCCCGTGATTATTTTTTAATCAATTCACCCTAAGCATGGCAATAAACCCACTAAGACGCTTCTGACTGCGGAAAAATAAGATAAAAATAAAAAACATTATTAACGAAAGAGAACAATAAAGAAAATGCATTGCGAAGACAACTATAACGATTGAGAATGTATACATATATATTGTTGAAGATCAAAATTAACTGAAAAGCAAGGGGACGGAAGAGTGTTCCACAGGCGAGAAGTAGACGAGAAGAAAGTATTAGCATAGAACTTACGGTTACGTCTACTTATTTCAACTGTAATGGTACCTTGCCACCAAACTGGTACTCCTCTTAAATTCATAAAGTCTATGTACCATAGAGGAATGCTAATCAGACCAACTACCTTGACAATATTTATAGAAAAGGTACAGGAAAGCTGTGTTACGTCCGTTTTAACGTCGCTTAAATATGGTCAAACTAAATGCACATTGAAAAGCGTTGATTCGATTTCTTTACAGTCTGTTCCATACCCTCTCTCTTAACCAAACGCATGTATCGTTATTGGTATGACATGCTATTTGATTGCATGTGTGCGGGTGCGTGTAATTTCAGCACCCAACTACGATTCCACATTATGTGCTGCATATATTTTGAAATGTTTCTGATTTTAATCACCAAAACTTTAGTTCTTGTTTTTCTTAAAGCGTTCTCATTACTTTCAAGACAAGCGTATCTGAAGTAATATTTGCGCGAACCACATCTCTGTTGCTTCCAGTCTATTTTTCATCTGTGAGGAGATTGCCCAACAATTATTGCTCTATAGGTGATAAGATATGAAACAGTTCCTAAGTCTCACCTGGAACGATTTAAAGGAAAAAAGACAGTTTTTCACTATTTTTCAACATAGTTCCCCTTGACATCAATGCACTTGGTTCAAGAATGCTTAGCATTCCAATCCCATCACGGAAGAAGTCCTGTTACACTTAAGCCACTCTACAAACACATATCTCATCATTATCTTGAAAATGACGACCACGCAGATGAGATTTGAGTTTAGGAAACAGGAAGAAATCTGATGGAACTAAGTCCGGTGAGTAAGAAGGGTAGGGTAGAAATTCAAAGCCACAGTTGGTTGTTTCGGATACTGCAACCTGAGAAGTGTGAATCCTGGAGCAAGAGCACACCTGCCTCGGGTTCTCTCTTCGTTTCAAGTTAATTGATTTCTTTGTCTTAATTCAGAGGCATAATGCTGTCCATTAATAGTTTTTCCCCTTTCCAGGTAGTATATTATAATTACGTCTTAAGAATATATAAAAAAAATAGAAGCCATAACCTTGCCAACAGACGCTGTTCTCTTGAACTTCATCGAGGGTTGCGCGGAGCACTTGTTTCCACTGTTAGATTTGAATCTTTGATTCAGGTTTTAAGTGTTGAACAAGGGGTTCATCTTTGGATATTTATATGTTGTAGAAATTCGGTTAAAACAGTATGGAGCAAACCAGAACTAATTCCTATGGGCTTAGCTATTTGCTGGAGAGTAAGACGTCTGTCATTATACGGGGAATGGCATCAAATTCTTCATCGATTGTTGAGGTTTTGGAACATGACAGTGAGTCATCTTCTGTGCTGTGAAAATCCGCAGCGCACTTCTTCACAGCAAGTACTGTGTCCTCATAGACTTTCTAGGGTGACATGCATTTTTTTTGTTTGCATATAATTTATGACTACTCGGGTCTACGTTTTGTCCATTTTAAAATTTGCGACACAGCTCTCAGTTACACAGAATATAAGACAGAAATATGAATTAGCTTTTCAAGTTTTAGAAGAAGTCGTAGTATGCTGCCGCTACAAAGAAATTTACGCGCTGGCTCTTCTTTGTGGTTGAGGCTTAGAACTTTTTGAACGACCCTCCTAATACTCCTTTCTTTTCTTCTCTATATCTTAATACTTTGCTTAGTTTCTGTAAGACGTGTTCCGCTACTGATATAAGTGCTTGTCCGGTTTCGACGTCGCTTGAATATGGTCAAACAAGAACCATCGCTTTTTCAAGTGATAGCGCCAAGGGAGATAATGTAGTCATAGAAAATTAATTAGCTCAAGTTCTTTCGTTATCGTAGTACAGTTCTGGAGTTTGGTACTTTTGTTCCCGGTGTCTTGCTAGACAATTGTTTATGCCAGAATCTATTTTGCGCATTTATAATCTACCATTCGTTCATGTTGTGAATAATGCTGTCATACCTGGTCTATATATTTAGAGATTCTTGATAAAGAAGGACCTGCAATGTTGTTGGTCATGGCCTGGTATCTCGGCTTCAGTCACTTGTTCACCACCGTAACTCAGATTTCCTGTACGTTTTCTATGAATATTGTTATGGTAGTGGAGTCTGTTAGAGGCCGTTTTGAATTCGATTCGTTAAATTTGTTTCCTATGTCGATAATATATTTATGGCCATTCACAAACACACACACACACACACACACACACACACACACACACACACACATATATATATATATATATATATATATATATATATATATATATATATATATATATATATAAAGATATATATTTATATATATATAACCTATATGTATATTACGTTTAATGTAAGTATTATATTAACTAGAGGCGGAGAAATTGTAACTAAAATTAGTCTTTACCTTGAAATTAATAAAGAAATTTACTGGAGCGATTTTTTTACACATTGCTACACATGCTATATTACTTATCCAACTGTTACTCTTTAAAAAAAATTCAATAAGTTCTTAAATCCGTAAAGCCCTAAACGTAAAGAAAAGAGAACAAAAATGCATTGAAGGGAATGGAGACACGCTCTTTAAATCGAAACTGTCTTTAGTGTATGAAAAAAAGGAAATAGGGTCTTTTTATTTATTCTTTCCTCACTCTTTTGTTTTTTAAATATCTATCTATCTATCTATCTATCTATCTATCTATCTATCTATCTATCTATCTTTCTTTCTTTCTTTATATTTATTTATCAGAATTTGTCTCTATCTTTCTATTTATGTATCAGTTACTTTCTCTCTCTATCAGTTTGTATCCCACTCTCTCTCTATATCTATCAGCTGTTGTTCTATCTATCAATCTATCAGTTTGTTGATTATATATATATATATATATATATATATATATATATATATATATATATATATATATATATATCAGATAGTTGGCATATAGCTTTCTATCTATCACATAATATATTTAATATTTCTACCCATTTTTCAATTTCTCCCGTTTACGTTCTTCTCGTTCTATCTCTCAGTTTGTTCACACACACACACACACACACACACACATATATATATATATATATATATATATATATATATATATATATATATATATATATATGGGTACGTGACCGAGTGGTTAGAACATTCTGAATTTGTTGATGTATCAGAAAGGAGACTTCCTGATGTCATCGGTCTGTGGAGCGACGCTCCCAACGCGCAGCACCTTTGGAAAGTACCTGAAACCATACATTGACCCAAGCCGTGTAAGTAAAATTGGGTAGACGGAATACTTCGGAGCGTCGATAGCTGTCCTAGCACGAAGTCACAAGTCATCGTCACCGATTGTTTGAGTGCTCTCTCCTTGTTCAGATTGCTGATAACACTAGATAACACACTCTCTCCGCTCAGCGTAGTTGCAGTATAAACCATAGCTGAGCTCTGTGGATCTTAAACAAAGTCAAATGTGCAATAGGGATTGGTTAGCCGCCCTAGTTGACGGTATTCTCGAATACGAGTAGCCTGCTATTATATAATAATAATAATAATAATAAAAATAATAATAATAATAATAATAATAACAATAATAATAATAATAATAACAACAACAACAACAACAACGACAACAACAACAATAATAATAATAATAATAATAATTTTGGTAAAGGTTTCCCAGTCGATTGAGTTCTGTAGGTCACTGGCATATAGATGAAAAGATAAATACGCAAAAAATAATAGGTCGGGTTTCGGTCCGGGCTTGCGATCGGATGTTTAGTCACACTGGTGAACTGTGATACAGCGAAACAGTCTGTCTGTGGATGACTTTATATATATATATATATATATATATATATATATATATATATATATATATATATATATATATATATGCGTGTGTGTGTGTTGGGCACTTCAACGTAATGGTAATGTAACGGTTACATTGATTTTCTTGCTAGATCAGTTATGACTGGGTAGTGAGTTTGAGCCTCACTGTGTGCCCCGCTTAAAATATCACTATATATGTGTGTGTGTGTGTGTGTGTGTGTGTGTGTGTGTGTGTGCTTTTCAATATATATATAAAAATGGGAAAATTGTCAAGAACGACAAAATGAACCCACATTGTTATCAACAGACCGAGCTTTGTATTCAATGTAATCTTTCCAACCGAGAATGCAAACCCGAGAAGTGACAACGAGTCATTCTCCTGGAGATCAGTATCGGCCATTCTGATTGGAAGCATAAATGCTCTTTCAGATTACAGATAGAGAGAAACTTCATTTTGGAGGCCTAAAACCTAAAACGCTATTCTTTGCTCCAGTTAACAACAGATTGTAGGTCATTATTTAGATCAACCGCCAATTATTTCCTATCGAACTGATCCGACTTATTTCGGGACAGGATAAAATGGTTGTCATCAGCATAGATACCAAGTTGATAATTGATGTTCATCAGCAAGGTCATTGGTAAAAAATAAGAACAAAGTAGGTTCTCGGATAGAGCCCTGGGAGACGCCTGTATTAATACATAAACTTATAAGAATTAGGAACAAATATGGATTATAATCGGGCAGAATTCCCACATGGCCATAAAATAAACACAAACTCTACCATTCCTCGATATATTCTTAATACCAGATAAGAATATATTAAATTTCGAGGTTTCATGCGAACCCACAAACAAAAATGATTTATTTAATTTTTATTCCCACCACAGCCAAAAATATTAAAGTAGGACTAAACTTCAGTTTTAAATCTTAGAATATGTAACCCAGAATAGCGAGATGAAGGGAAATGCATTGAGAAACATTTAAACTTTTTCACAAGCAATATCATTTCACCCTAAACACTGGAAAACGAGCCTACGTAATGCACAAGCCCCAAAATGTAGGCATCGATCACCATCGAGAATATCGTAACTTTCGACAACACACACACACACACACACACACACACACACACACACACACACACACACACACACACACACACACACACACAAAATTATAATCCCTCTCTCCAATAATCTGGCAACAAAATCTGAAAACAACCTTGTTATCCCCAACACTAAGACCTTTACAATCACCTCCAAAACAATCAAATATAATATCAAAGAAAAAATATTCAACACCACATCAGATATTGCGATTTATGCTATAAAATTCCTGCAATATATATATATATATATATATATATATATATATATATATATATATATATATATATATATATTATGAGTGTGTGCATCGGGAAGGTGCCTAATATATGTTGTTGATTCACTCGTTTTCGATGGCTTAGCGATAATTTTCTGGTTATTTAAAACGAGAAAATATATTTAGATAATCAGAATTTTGAGGGGATAACGGTTTGGATAACAAATCTTAATAATTAAACCATATATGATTGGAGAAAAGGTGGTATCATATCTTTCCAAAGATTATTTGCTCGTAAGTGAATATAATGAAAACCGATAGGAATTGGAACTCGGCTCGACGATTAACAATTCCAAGTCATTATCCATTACGTGCACATCCAAGCTTAGTGGACTGAGTATTCCCAACCGGACATTTTAGATACTGACTAAGCTGGACGTTGCTTAACTCCAGTGATCTTACGAGAACTGGTGTCTAAATGTGATGTGGCCGTAAACCGTCGTGCAGTGGCGTCTAATAACACACACACACACACACACACACACACACACACACACACACACATATATATATATATATATATATATATATATATATATATATGTACCAAATATAAATATATTTAGCAAAAAAATCGATTACGGATTTATGCAAATGAACTATCTTCTATTCTTAAAACTGATTATACATATATAGGAGTAAAAAAACCTGACTTATGTCAAATCGGACGTCTAGACGCACTGAAGAGCTGTCTGTGGATGACTATATACATATATATATATATATATATATATATATATATATATATATATATATATATATATATATATATATATATATATATATATATATATATATATATATATATATATATATATATATTTATATATATATATATACATTTATATATATATATTTTCGTAAGTTAAAATTTACTGTATATATATACATAAATGCATATTCAGATTTTTAATATATGTCCTTGTTACGTTTGTTTTCTATTTTTGTCCCTAAAGAAATCTTTTTCATACTGTGTATCTAGATTTATATCCATATATTTTTTTTAATATATATATATATATATATATATATATATATATATATTTTAAATTTGTACTTACAATATTAAGCAGTTTTGTGATATTTAAAATTTTCTGTATTTAAGCACCAAAAATGGACAGTATTGGGGACAGAGTGTTTGCAAAAATATATATATATATATATATATATATATATATATATATATATATATATATGTATATATATATATCTATCAGAGACACATATATCATGATAAATTATTTTCATAAAATTAAAATTTGTGGTTCGCACAATACGCGTGACCACGCGTTACACGAATATATATCTGTGTGTCTCTGTGTGTCTGTGTAATGCAAAAAGATTCTCTTAATATATGTCCTTGTTACGTTTGTGGGTCTGTGCAGTTACTCTAACCATACTCTTGTAGATATGTTATTGTCCCTAAAGAAATCAATCAATGTTTCAATGTTTTCAAACTTTCTTCCTAAGGATAAGAAGAATCCCCATTTATACAGGTTCAAATGGGCTATTTTTTGCCGGAGCCTAATGGCTCGGGAACGTCGGTACGTAAACAAACCTAAAGTATAAATAAATACACATTTAATAAATAAACGGAGGTCTCTCAAATATGGCTATTCAATAAAAATAACTTTGTAGAGATTTATATATTTGCTTATTTCTGCGTAATAATGTGTTGATGTTCTGTAGGTTTTAATTCTAGGATAAGAAAAATTTTAATATCATATGAAAACGATTTCCTCATATATGGATTTTCTAGAGGATGGTTTATGCAGATATTAACGTTGAAACTCATACACATAGTACAGTATCTACGTATGCACACACACCCTCATATATATATATATATATATATATATATATATATATATATATATATATATATATATATATATATATATTACTGTACTCCTTTTCATTCACGACTGAAGATCCAATATGTACATTTCAGTGTGTTTGGGCGTAAATCTAAGGGCAGTTAAGAGGATTCAGAAAGATTGGATGAGTCTAATGGTGATTACAAAGTTATGACAGCTCGAAAATCTCAATCTGATCGTTCTTATAAGAGAAGATCTCCCGAATTTTTCGGTAAGGGATTCAGAAAATACGGAAGCCTACATCAAGTTCTTGGAGGAGGTAGTGCTGTCCTATGTCAAGAGGTTGGTTGCTGGAAACTCCGCATTTGCCAACAGGACTCGGCAACATGTCACACAAGCAGGAGAACCCAGTCATGGTTGTCAGACAATTTCTTCGACATTATCACACATAACTTCTCAATCTGCAAATCTCACCCTTGATTATTCTGTGTGTGGTGCAGCTGAGCTAGATACCAACACAATTCTTTCAAAACCCCAAAGATGGACTGAAAGCAAGGATTATGGCCGCATTCCCCAACTTTAAAAGGAGACCTTCTGAAATAGATTTTTTTTTAGTATAATTCGAACTCGGCTCCCAGATTTCTCAATCCGTGTCGCTGTCCATTACGCTACCATTGCTCCCCTGTATATATATCCAGCTTAAAAATGTGTCCATCAATATATAAATATATATATATTTTCAAAGGTGAAATCTTTGCCAAATCCAATACACAATATTAATACTACTACTAGTACTGCTAAAATAATAAAAATAATAATAATTGTTTGCGCGCATTTAATTGCTTCGTTCACTTTGTTTATCCTGAAAAAGAAAAAGAAAACAAATCCACTAAATTTAGTTCTACTCTAAGTCCTTTTTCTGTTTTATCAGTAAAAATATTTATAAAAAAATAGTTTCTTATTTTTCATATCTATATGCAAACAAATTTATAGAAAGCCAGAAAACTGCATACTTACTTGCCTAAAAACATTAATATATATATGATGGGTTGCTGAAAAACTTTCGAATCGCCCATGAAAAATGTAATAATTTGACAAATGAAGACGTGCGGATAAATTTTATCACGTTCGCTGTTTATGTATGTGTGCATATATATATATATATATATATATATATATATATATATATATATATATATATATTTATGTTGGTTTTCTATGCTTTGCTTAGATATGGCACACAGCCGAAAGTATAGGGATCTCAGTAAGGATCGAAATTACTATTCGGTCGTTATTGTTCTAATGGGAAATGATTTTCGAGACGTTGCTTACATGTGGCACAAGCGCAAAAGTGTGTAGCACCCAGTGAGGGTCGATCTCACTACTCAGTTAGTTATAATTGATTTAGTATATATATATATATATATATATATATATATATATAAAGAACTTAATATAAATAGTTATATTAATTAGTCTTTCTTTTAACGAATCAGCCTTTTGTAAATCTTGTAGTTTATATAAAGTCGAAACATACTTTTGGATGTAGGAATGATTTTCTTTTTTTTTTACGGGCCAATACTGTATTAAATGTTTTTATTGATAAATATAATTTTCAGAGTCCTACATATCTGTAGGAGTAGCGATCGATTCATTCCTTTCCCATGTATATTTGTGCGTAAGTGAATGCAACGTACCCGACTGGAATTCGAACTCAGCTCTCCGATTCCTCATTTCAAGCAGTTATCCATTACACCACTTGCACATGCAAGCTTACAGCATACTCACGCATCCAAGCTTGTCACGCATTTAAGTACTGATCAGGCTCGCCGTTGCTTAACTTCTACGATCAGACGAGTACTGATGTTTCAACGTGATATATACGTAAGCAATGAAAAATTCATATTTATGTATATATGTATGTAAGTATGCATATTTATTATGGGCGCGTGGCCAAGTGGTTAGAACGTTCCATGAGCCCGAGGTTCGAATCTCACCATTGTCGGTTTGTCAGGAAGGAGATTACCTGATGTTAACGGAATGGATCAAGGTCGATCTTAGCGTGCAGCACCTTTAGAAAGTGCCTGTAAACCTTACCACAGTTTGACCCAAGCTCTGTGAGTGAAATTTTCTAGTGAAAACTTGGGGGCCGTTGATAGCTGTGCTAGCCCAAAGCCAGAAGTTAAATTATTGATCACACTAGATAATTTAGTTACAGTTTCTCTCTTAGAAAATTTAAGGGCTGCTCAGCATAGTTGCAGCATAAACCACAGGTGGGATTTGTGGTTGTTGAGGAAAAACAAATATGCCTTAGCGAGCTTCTGCAATAGGGATAGGTTACACGCACTAGTAGAGGGGTATCCTCGTGGCCAACTATTATTATTTATTATGCAAATATATATATTCTTACGCATATGTTTATGAATGTAAGAATATATGTATATTAGTACAAATCATTAAGAACTGCCAAGAACATACAATGAGTTGGGCACATATCAACCATGGAAGGGAAATTCATTGATCTAACAATCCATTATATGAATATTGGTGAACATGCTTCGCCAATTTTAGCTGCAAATGGGTCATATTGGTAGACATACGAGAAATTATGATTAGTACGTCGCAGGGAAAATAAAACTAACATGCGGAGTTTGTCATGGAACATGCAGAAAGCGCTGCGGATTCAGCCTTACATGAAAACCCCTAAGACAAGCTGACAGACATTAAAAACAGGCCAAGCTCTGTATAGTAGCACTTAGTTTGATATCCTCTGCAATAAGCATGCAGGTTACTTGCTTCAAATATCGTTTTCTTGCTCAAGAGATCTAAAGGCATTGATCAAATTTTTTCAACGTCAATTAGCGCAGCTTATCTACTGTGGCTTCCCTCTATCTTTTCTACAAGTACTTTCATGGCTACTGCTCTGACGAGATACTTTCCCTGGTTTCAAAACTTCATGAATATAAGCGTGATACTAGGTTGGCATCTCGGTCCCGCACTTTCACTGTCGAAACGACTAAATGTAGTCACCTCGTCTACTCCAACAGCTTCTTTTCTTGCATCTCCTGTCATTGGAACTCAATTCTAATCACTTTCTTCCCTGGTACCGATAATCTTCAAATATTCAAATGTAATGTCTATTGACATCTTCTGATGCCTTGACCTTGAACCATCCCTCTGTTCATCTTTTTCCTAAACACTCCTCTTTACTCTTACTTCCCTTCTGTGTAACTCCTTGCGTGCTAGTAGCAATCCCTCCTTGTTTGGGGCGATTTGCTTAAATATCTCTCTCTCTCTCTCTCTCTCTCTCTCTCTCTCTCTGTCTCTCTCTGTATATATATATATATATATATATATATATATATATATATATATATATATATATATATATATATAGGCACCCATGTTAATGTTTTTTGAAAGTATACTTTTCCAGTTTTCGGATAATGTGTTGAGTATTATATTCTAAGTTGCGGATGAACCGTCCAAAGTACACATTTTGTTATTTTTGTTCCAGTAATTCGATCAACTTTCCAGTCATTATCAAGAACGAATGTGTTGTCTGTGCGGTAGTTTTAATTCTTTCGTCTCCCTCTTGGTATGTATTAGGACGCTGGACGTGTAAAATGGTCTAACGTGACGTCATGTGTAACAGCCATCGTCAGACAAGTTTGACGATCGCAAAAGCGTGAAACCCAGGGTCACAAACTTACATCAATCCAACCAAATATGTTAGCTCTATCTCTGATATTTAGCGCTTTCTAATAAGTACTGCGCATATAATATATATAAATAATTATATATATATATATATATATATATATATATATATATATATATATATATATATATATATATATATATATATATATATATATATATATATATATATATATATATATATATATATTTATTTATATTTACATACACACACTTTTCACATTATATATATATATATATATATATATATATTACAAGCAGTAGTATATATTAGGAGGCATGGTGGAATAATGGATAGTGGCTCGGATTGAGGAATCTGAGTTCGAATTCCAGTCAAATCCGTTACATTCACTTACGTGGAAAAAATTGCTAGTCAAGACGCCAACTGTCACATTTATAAATCTACAATTCGTCCAAATTTCACTTCAGATTTTCTATTTTTATAGTGTTCACTATGTATGATATAGTGTATAGACTTCATGTTAACACTATCTCACATTTTTTCTCCCTTTCTGTCTATCTTTCTCACTGTATATGTGTTTCTATATGTACCTCTGTATATCTATCTATCTATCTATCTATCTATCTATCTATCTATCTATCAGAATAGCTATTGAAAATATATGAAACAGATCTGAAAGTTCTCTACTAAACTAAAAACTGATTCCTTCAGTACCTCCTTGTCCATATGTACGTCGTTTAGATATAGTAGATTTCATATTTGGTTATTTAGGCAGCCATTACACTCTAATATATTTTTCGTTAAAAATGGCTTGTTTAAGATTTTTATAGTATTTTTTTGTAAGCGTACAAGAGCTTTCATAGTTACAGTTAACAAAAGCATATTTATAATAAGGATAAAACGCCCTAAAAATGGCGAACAAATTTGCCTAAATTGCTTACAATGAACCAATATTTGTACAATTTATAAGCCCAGAAAAAACACGCGTTTTATACAACAAGAATAAAATGAAAAACTTAACTGAAGTATATATATATATATATATATATATATATATATATAGATAGATAGATAGATAGATAGATTAAAACTGCTAACCTCATTATCAAAAATAATAATTCACGTGTAAGATACAAATTACAGAGAACTAATATTATATACAAAGTTAGATGTCACTCAAGGAGCTGCTTTTCTAATCAATCCAAATTTTTAAATAATTATATTGGATATACTACAATATGTTTAAGAAGAAGATACACGCTACATCTCTCTGACCATAGCTCAATTAGGTCTCATTTAAATGCACATGAAGCCCTACCAAATTCTATCCACATATACACGTGTATAATACAAATACCTCATCCATATGTAAAATAAAGGCTAAATATGATGGAAGCATTATTCATAAAAATAAGATGCCAACACTCATTAATATCAACTAGGCACACGGTCACAATGTGCTGAGAGAGTCTTGAATCCTCTTCTTCTCCCCCAGCTATGAGTAAATAGCAGAAAAGACAAGGTTCTATAGCCTTGGATGGCAACTGGACAAGGAGATGGGCAACTCTGAAGTCAAAACCTGTAGAGGATTGTTTGCGTATTTTGTGGCATACGGTGCAACAGGACTCTGTATTCGGACCTTCAAAAAGTGTGGCTGGTTCTGCACAAAGACTTCACCACTATAATCATAGTCATAGGTGCAGGTCGTCTGGTTGCCAGTCTTTGAACCTCATACTTTGTAAAAATATACCCGGTAGGCGCGCGTCAACAACGTGAGAGTCCTCTCTCTCTCTCTCTCTCACTCTCTCTCTCTCTCTCTCTCTGGACACACACTCATATATATTGAAATATACTACCCCAGTGTTGATAATAAAATTATTTAAATGGGAATAACCGTTGATAATTGGGTACATAAAAACAATCACGAGTTTACTTAATGAACAAAAATCAAAACCAATCACGAGTTTACTTAATGAACAAAAATCAAACGAATAGATGTCAACCTAACAAGCAATAAGATAAAAGTTTTAGTGGAATAAAAAATATTACTAAATATAAAATGGATTACTCTTTCAATGTTCTGTCTATGAATTTTTCCAATCGACTGTTTCATAGAAAATACCCAAAACTCCACCGAATTTCAAATTAATTTCTTCGTAGATTGTTTTAACATTTAGATATTTATCAAACCTTAACCTCCCAAATATGCACGTTAAAGTAACGCGAATTAACAGCGTCTAAGAATTTGAATGAAACTTGTCGTGTAATTGATTGGGGTTGTTGTAACTTCTTCCTTTAATGTCGTTCTTATCATTCACCCCTTAGCCATCTATATCTAGAGACGAGACGCGTTAAATTTGAGCAACATCCAGCCGACACACTGGGGTTAAAAATAGGAAACTGAAATGATACATATGACACACTCGTATCCTCTCTCCCACCTCACTCCCTCACTTCGTTAATTTTACGTATACTTGATGAGATCCGTCAAAAACGTGTGAATTTTTTTCATTTTTCATTTCAGCTTTTGGAAGTAAAGTCTGATGATCCAGAACCCTGTTAAAGGGTTATGGTGAAATAGCTTATTACATGGAATCTTAACGTGGTCTGTCTTTTATTCAAACACACACACACACACACACACACACACACACACACACACACACACACATATATATATATATATATATATATATATATATATATATATATATATATATATATATATGTTAGCCAATCCTTCTTGTAGACGCTTGCACAGGTGCATTTGTGCTTATTCAACACCAACAGAACCCATCTGTAGTTTATGCTGCAACTATGCAACTATGCTGAGCAAGTCTTAGTACTGTTTCTGGGAAAGAGCGTGTTATCTAGCATGATCAACAATTTGAACAAAGCCAGCAAGCTCAAACCCACGAGCACGATGAGTTGTGACATCGAGCTAGCCCAGATACCGCCGGCCCCCAAGGGTTCCGTCTACTCACAATGCTTAAATCAACCCGTGGTATGTTTTCTTCAGGCACTTTCCAAATATATATATATATATATATATATATATATATATATATATATATATATATATAAATATTTTTGAGATAAGGTATTATGTACATTATTTACATTATTCGGACTATTGTCCTCATTTTGTCGCCATATTTATCACAACGTTTCGGCCGTCTTCAGGCCTTCTTCAGGCGATAATAACAACACAGTTGCAACATGAGCTCTGGTAAAAACATGAAATGATAACAGCAAAAATTGCAATATGAGCACTGGTAAAAATGGTTTCTGAAGACATTAGGTTTATAATACCCAAAAAGAACAAGGACACATGGTACAGTGGATAAAGGCGTTGGTTATATCCAGTGACATAACCCAAAGTGTGTGCGGGGCGTTCAATACCCAGCTAAGGCAGTGGAGAACTTTCAAAGGTGAATTAACAGGAGATAACTGATAACTGACATCCATTAAACAGTCTACCCCGTGAGCGAAATAAAGGGTTCAGTTCGACATTCCAACCACCTGAAGAAGGCGGGAGCGTACAACGGTCGAAACGTTGTGATAAATATGGCGGCAAAGATGAGGACAATATTTCGAATAATGTAAATAATATATATATATATATATATGTATAAGCTTTGAACAGTTAGCATATTTCTTAATGTTGTGCACATAGTTTTCAAGGTTACGGCATTTTTTGATGAACTGTCTTAAAAGGATTTTATTATTAAATGCTGTATCGCGCTCTAATAATGATGGCTTTTAGGATGGTCTTTGTAACTATGAATTTAACTATAATTAATTTTAAACGGACCTGCACATCGCAATTTATTTTAATTAAATTTTTCTTTTCTATTTGTTAAAAACATTGAACGATATTACATTAATAAATTATTCATATATTAATGACTTTTTTTATCACTGAAATCGCTAGTTCTTTAAATCTCTTGCATGCCTCCAGCCACGCATATGTCTATAAATACGTATTCTGTACAATAGTACATGTCAATTTTTTTATTTTTTATTTTAGCAAACGATGTAATATTCGTTGATATTTATTATCAAACGTTATAAACACTGACTTTTGTTTTGCAATCCATATTTTCTTTGTTTAAGACATTTTCATTATAGTTCATGACGAGAAAGCGTTGGAAGTTTTTGCTTAAACAAAAACTTCATATTTGATACGCGTTAAATGTTATAAATAAGTCATAAGCGTCGGCATTTAATACCATAGATGACATTCGTCTTGATACAAACAGCGGGACTCCGTTCGTCTACCGGACTAGATATGCTTAAGACAAGACCTGTTAATACATAAATAATGTTAGCTTAAGTATGAATGAAATTAATAATTATGAATACTGTATAAAGCAGGTTTCAGGCAAGAGAATAAATACATACATGCATCAACACAACATACATACATATATATATATATATATATATATATATATATATATATATATATATATATATATATATATTCCCGGAGGGTCAAGCAAATCAGTTTCCAGAAAAGCGACAGCCCGACACCCGACACATGAGATTTGATTATAGTGGTGAATGCTTCGTGCAGGACCATCCACACATTTTGAAGGGACGAATACAGAGACCTGGTGCACGAGGTTCCCAAACGACCCTCCGCAGGTTTTTGAATTCAGAGTTGTCCTTCTCCTAGACCAGTTGGCAACCAAGGCTATAGAACCCAGTCTGTCCTGCTATTTATCCATAGCTGGAGGGAGAAGAAGAGGATTCATACCTTTCCCAAGGGTATTAGCACGTAATGGATTTGAATGGAATTCGAACTCGGCTCTGCGATTCCTCAATCCAATATATATATATATATATATATATATATATATATATATATATATATATATATATATATATATATATATATATATGATTCGGTTTGACGTAATTTGCCTGTTTAAGTTTTTATCATATTTTCCGAATAAAGAGTTGAGTATTCCCGATAATGTCTATGATAGTCAAAAGTATTTGAACAAATATAACAAAATTTATTAACAACTTCGAGCACCCAATAACTTATTAAAAAATTGGAAAATATAATAAAAATGAAACAGACGGACTTTAGCAGTTCTTTTTAATCAAACTTGTTTGGATATATATGTATATATTTATGGTGTACTCTCCCCGTCTTATTCGATGTATGAGGGTCAAGCTCAATTCCTAGGAACCGACATCAGCACATATGATTGGATTATAAGGCTGAATACATAGACCTGGTGCAATACGTACCACAACGTCCCCAAACAAACCTCCGCTGTTTTTTTTTTAATTCAGAGTTGCCTTTTCTTTCTCCTACACTAGTTGCCATTAAAAGCTATAGAGCCCAGTCTGTCCTGCTAGAAGAAGAGGATTCCCAATCAGCAGGTAAGTGAATGTAATGGATTCCTCAATCCGAGCCGCCATCCATTGCTCCACCGCGCCTCCTCAATACATACATACATAAATACATACATATATATATATATATATATATATATATATATATATATATATATATATATATATATATATATATATATATATATTTGGTTGGATAGATGTGAGTTTGACCCTGGGTTTCACGCTTTAGTGATCGTCAGACAGACAAACTCGCTATTTCATATATATATATATATATAT